TGATGTTGTTGTAAGCTACTGTCATTACCGTCTGTCCTGCATCTCTCTGTCTCTCTCTCTCTCTCTCTCTCTCTCTCTCTCTCTCTCTTTCTGTCTCATTGTGTCATACAGATTACTGTTAATTTTTCATGCCGATCTGTTCTGTACGACATCTATTGCACGTCTTTCCGTCCTGGAAGCGGGGATCCCTCTTCAGTTGCTCTTCCTGAGGTTTCTACCGTTTTTTTTTTTTTCTCTGTTAAAGGTTTTTTTTGGGGGGAGTTTTTCCTTTTTCGCTGTGAGGGTCCTAAGGACAGAGGGATGTCGTATGCTGTAAAGCCCTGTGAGGCAAATTGTGATTTGTGATATTGGGCTTTATAAAAAAATTGATTGATTGATTGATTGAAATCGTGATTACCATCAGGTTGAAATGTTCCTGGTAACAGCACAGTATAAGGATCTACTGGGTGGGAGCCTGCTGTTCACTTCTTGTATGAATGTAGAACCTAGCATTGGCTGCAGCATCCTGGAACATCAACAGCAGACACAGGAGGATACCTGGAGTGTAATATGTAGACATGAAAGGCCACTGACAAAGCGCAAAAGCCCCACGTAGCTATTTGTTTACACATGAGTATCATATCCAAGGAGAAAAAAAATACATGTTACTTTCAGTTTCGGTGTGAACAAAACCTTTAGACCCATTCACATATATTTTACAGACAGAATACAAAGCTGTATCTTGAGTGCACCTCTGAGTACACACAGTGCGGCAGAGTGGAAAAACAAACAATATATTGTAACAGACACCTAGACAGCATGTGCTGAGGAACACGTGATGACAGAGAGATTTCCCCTGTATTAAGTGGCACAGATCTGCCTTTTAAAACCATAACAACAATAATGTGTCCATAGTGCGACACATGTGGTCCGTTCTGCATGAGGCTCCACACTGCCAAGTCACATGCGTGACGGACATCGGCACCGTGTTTATGGAAATCATAGCTTTTGTTCTGCTGCAGGACACAAGACAGCCAGGGAAACACAAAAGCCTGGCATTTCTGCTTTGCCTATGACATTTACAAAGAGACAGATAAACACAGAGGCTGTGTAACCCATCAGAGGCTCATTCCAAAAACGCTTTCCGATTGAACTGTCACAGAGGGGCACCGTGCCACGTTAAACCCCATTTTATTTCGTCCTGTTTAATTTCTGCCGTCTCGCTCTGCTGTCGTGTTTTCTGGCGGCCGGCTCGTGGACGGCCACAGAGATGCAGAGCCAATGAATGAGACTGGGGGGGTTGGAGGGGGAGGGAGACAGCAGCCATAATGCACCTGTGTCTCTCATCACTGGATGAATTTCAGAATGAAGACCCAGATGTGTCATCAGCTTATGTGATTCATTCATTGTAAACAGCAAAAAGCTGATACCTTCCCCTGGCATGGAATTAAAGCACTATAACCAATCACTCTGACATCTTTAACAATTTGCCAGGACAGGAAAAAAGATATTAATCTAAGAGGAGGAAGCAAATGTGATATCTAGTGAACATCTTCATCTGAGGTGTGCGTCAGCTTCCTCTCCACACAGGCCCATTTATCTACAGCAGATTGCAGCTTCATTGCTCCTAGTTGTCACTGCAGACATATGTATGCAGCAAATATTTGTATTACTGTTTTAATGAAAACACAAAAGATATTTCAGTCTTTACACCACCATGAACCATTTAATTACACTCCTGGCAGCCACTGAGGAAATCTTCCATCACATTTCCATCCTCCATTCAAACAGCTGTAGTTGCATCACGCGGTGAGGTCTGACGGAGAAACATGATTACATTTGCATAGTGCTGTGTGGAAAGAAATGAAGCTTTAAAGGAGCATTGAGTCATCTCTGACCTGTATCAATTACTGCAGTTATTGTGTTGTGGACCAGAGGGGATTAAAAGAAGAAATGTGAATGTTTTTCTGTTTATTTTCTAATGTATTCTGCATTTTACAACCCAGTAAAAATAAAGTTGTTCGTGGTCTCCATTTTAAAAAATACAAATACTGGGGTCAATAATAGCAGCAGAGTGTGTTTACATATATTTAAACAATAGATATTTGAGCTGCGCAGTTATTTAGAGAGTGGGGTGTAAATAGTAAATGGAAACTACCAGCTTTGCTCTTGGCTTTTTACTTACCCTTATCGGTGCCCTTGAGAATATTGATTTGCTTCTCTGGGTCAATACCATTGATTTGAATCACAGCTCCGTGTGCAGGGGAAGTCCACCACTGTGGTTTCCTGAATTTGAACTCTGGCTGTCAGGTCATCGTGTGCATTGATTCTGAGGGATGGAATGAAAAATGCAATGCAAGCAGAAATTTAAAAAAAAGGTCAATGCCTCCATTTCAGCATCGCAGATAAAAGCAGATCATTTCCACTTAAAACTCCATCCCATGTGACATTTCATCAGCATCGACTAACTGTGTGTGTGTGTGTGTGTGTGTGTGTGTGTGTGTGTGTGTGTGCCAAGCCTATTGTCGCATTGTCTGCCTGGTGGCACTGAATGAATGGTCCTCCAAAATGGCATTTAACTGTCTTTATTTGGCAGTCACTTTCAATGGGAAGAGACAGAAAAGTGCAGCTGAGGAAAAATGGCTTTGAAGTCATTTTGCAGACGGACTAAATCATTTTTAAGAATTCGGAAACACTTACTGACAAAAGTTAGCCAACGGGGAAGAAATAAAGAATTCATCAACACTAGTCTAAATAGGCTGCAGAAACCGACAGGAGGTCTGCGTCGCTGCTATTTGTAGTTACATATCTGGGGACATTGAAACGTTACCTTTGTTAAATGTTGCTGTTGTCCCTGGCTTTATGTAAGTAGAGGAGATGTCCGCTAGCCCTTAAGCTAATTTATACAATGTAAAATGCCATAGGCGTGTGCTAAAAACATTAGCATGTTGTATTTGTGGGGAAAATGTGTCCAGATAAAGACAAGTGTTTGTCTGTGAATGCTGCGAGTTATAGTGAAGCTGATTTGTGTACTTGTGTTTGAAACTGTTTCTATTAAGCCATGTTTAATGTGTGTTTAATGTGTGTTTTGAATCAACTACACTTTACAGCACTTCATAGAAACCTCCACTGCCGACTGGTGTCCTGGAGGTGTAACTGCAGGGTGACACAGACACACCACCGCAGGGGTATAAATGCTCACTATGGGGTAGAGTCTGCATAGAGCTGATGCAAAAGTATAAATCCTGCTGAAAGTGTTTATAACAGTTGTTTATAGAAGGGCTCCGTAGAGGAATTTAGCTTAGGGCCACAGGGAGGTGAGAACTGTCTCTGCATATATGTTTGCTTCACTATGGTCTTGTAATGATTATATGACCTGTAGACCAACTTGGTGCTGCAACAGTTATAAAATTAAACTGCAGTCAGGAGTGATCCTTGATGCATTATTGAATGCAAATCAAGAGCAGCAGATGTTCGTTGCAGGCTGGATGAAGATATAGTTGAGTCATGATGGTGCCTGGGGGAGGGCCTTGAAAAACTCAGAGCTCTGGGGTCCCTGGCGCTTTAATGTGGCCTTGCCTTTGAGTGTGGCAGAGCAGGTATAAACAAAGCCTCTGACCTTGTTTGTTTGACCTGAATCTTAAAACCAAACTTGCAAAGAAACCCAATGAAGAAGTGAGGACCAGACAAAATATCCCCACCTTCTACACACCTAACATAGAAGTACAAGAACACACAAGTACAGAGAGAATAAGAGTCAAATTACTGATTAAGGTTTAGCAAATACAGCAAGTAGAAGTAGAAGATACCAGATGACCACACTAAGTATGGATAGAAAAAAATGTTTAATCTTTTCAGAAAGACTGAGATGTGTCGTAGAACAAAGGCTGGCAGCACAAAGCAGGTTCAGCTCAAACAAAATACATGGAACAAGCAGGTATGAATGGCTGGAAGGCTTCAGCTCTTCAGATAATCAAAGGGAAAATGGGAGCAGGAGAGTGGATAGTGTGTACGTAGACTGGGGCCCAACGAGCAGATGAAGAACAGCTGTGCAGAAAGGAGGAGAAGGAGGAGGAGGGCCAGGTGAAAGACGATGGACAGGTGAGGAATGACAGGAGGTTCATTTCAATACCTTATCCCACATCCATGTTTCCCTCACATGCGTCTCTTCCTCACGTCCAGGCCAGCCATTATCAAAGAATCAAGTAATTTCCCTCACAATTTAATGAGATTTCTTAATTAATTCAACAGTGTAAAGAGTATAAGGCTCTCAACTCAATTTTCCGTCATATCAATATATGCAATTTCAAGACTGTTCAGGGCCCCCAGTATGCAGAAATATTTAAATACATCATTTTAAAAAATGGCAGTTACTTTTTCCCTCGCCAAAATCTAGTTTAAATTTATGGCGTTGTTTGGCCCCTTTTTCGACAAAATAGCATAACATGGTTGGTACCAATGGATGCTGTATGTCGTCTGGTTCAATATGACACCCGTGTCTTCATTGAAGCTTTGAATTTGAGAACGCCACAGCAAAGATTAGTCTGCCTAACTCCTCACCTTCAGCTCTGCCTATCATACCTGCTGCTTCTCTTCTCTTTCTTCTTCTCTCTGTACCCTGGCTGTTCCTTTAGGAGCCCCTGATTGTTGGTGAGGCACTTTGACTGTCCTAATCACGCTGCAGTTCACCTCACATCTTTACATTAGTGGTGCTTGTGTATTCTGTTTTTATGGCCCCTGTCAGATGGACTGCACCATTTCACAATACCTGTGGGGGTGGGCGCATCAGATGGCATGTTAAACTGTGTTTTAATGATAACCTGTATTGTCAGATAAAAGTCAGTAAGTAAACTGTTATACTTGATCCATTTTAAGGGTAACTATGGACCTTTTTATGGGCCCTCATTGGCCTTGGGCCACGGTCATCTGTACACTTTGACCCCCTGATGGCAGGCCTGCTCAGGTCTTAGCTCCGCCCTCATGAGACCCGGGGGAGAGATACAAGGATGAGATGCGAGGAGAGAGGAAAAGAGGAAATATGTCTTCAGAAAAATAAGAAGGTCTTTTCCTCTGAAGCATCACATGGAGACGTGCGTTTCTGATGATGGCGACAGCTGATCACAGCTGAATCAGCTGTCAGTCAGCTTTATTAACAGCTGTAGAGAGCTAAGCTGCCAGGACACTATTGTAATCCTAGGTATTCTTCTTCTTCTTTCTTCTTCCGAGGAAATCATACTAAAACTAAAACTGTAAAACTTCTTAAACCTATCTCCTCCCACAATTTTTGCTCAATTGACACCAAACTTGCTACAGAGCATCTTCAGACTGTCCTACAAAAACTATGTTTCTCAGATTTTTGATTTATCAAAAATTGAGCCTACAGTGCATCAAAATGTTTGACTGTAAATGGTACTGTAAACATATACATGCAAATTCTTGCTAAATAAATCTTCAATGTTCTTGAAAAAAAGACAAAATTCTAGAGTCATGGTAGATGATGTGTGGCAAATTTCAGAATTTTATCTCAAAAACTGAATTTTTGACAGCATTTTGAATTTTGCTCTAATGTGAACAATTGGACTCAATGTAAAAATGGCAATTTTAAACATCAGTTTTCACTTATGGAGCAAATCAATCATTGTTACAAACAAATTACCAACATCTCCATGCTGTCTAGATGCAATATGTGTATTTTCAGATTTTTGTCTTAATAACTGAACAACAGTGAATGGCTTACTCAATTTGTGAAGCCACTGTTGAGTTACTACTTGACAATTAGCTCAGAGCGGTAGATGGCCGTCGTAAGTTCCAGAGGTTGCGGGTTTGAGCCTCAACTGGTGCAGAATCCACATTGTAATGTAATCATCTTCTTGTGCTCCAGCATCAGTTTTTCACTTATGAAGCAAATCAATCATTGTTAAAATAAATTACCAACATCTCCATGCTGTCTAGATGCAATATGTGTATTTTCAGATTTTTGTTTCGATAAGTGAATTTTTTACAGTGGTTTGAAATCTGCTTTTCCATGCATGGACGGCTGCTAAACCTACACGTCTGGTTTAGTGAATTTGTGAAGCTACACATGAATTGTCACTGACTAATTAGCTCAGACGTATATAATAGGCCTATACAATAAAGATCCAGTAATCACTTCCAAAGCAGCAGTGTTTTCTCTGTTTAACAAACACCTGCACATGAATAACTACCTGTGTTCTGTATATGTACAGCAGTGTGTCCTGCTCAGAGACACACATTTGAATTATTAATTCATGTTTTGCATCTGTCTTTATTGATATTCTGATTGTGAATTCAATATTTGTAAACCCCAGAATATGATCATGCTGTCTTTTGAACACTGGAAGTTATTGGGCCAAATGTTGCAGGGAAAATTGAAATTCTGTAACTCATCAAACCTGACGCTCGGGAATAATCAGCCTTGTGTGACTGAATGGAAATGAAAGTGTAAAAAGTAAAAAGTGTTTCTTGCTGACAGACAGAATCTGACTTTAATTGATCCATAATAAAAGTTAATGGGGGAAATAACGGATTGAGAAGAGAAAAATCTTTCTAATAAATGAAGTAAGTAGTCTGTGGTCCTCTTGTTATTCAGGTACAAAAAGCAATGCATGCAGATTCGTACATATCCCACCTATCTTGAAAGGCCATGGTCACATGACCAATGCGCTAATGACAGTAACCAAGGAAGCAGTCCCAAGCACTTGTAAGGAGGCACGTTGGGGTGGTAGATGGACACAAAGACACGACTGTCACCCGGGACATTTCCCTTGAGTTGCGTGTTCAGATCTGTAGGAACTCTGAGTCATTTTAAGGTACATCCTCACCATGTTTCTTTCCCTAAACCTAACCACTGTAACAACATGAAGCAAATTTTTGTAGGGTAGCATACGAACTGTTCAGCGCGAAAATGTTGTGTGATGTAGCAGATCAATCTGATCGGCTGCAGCATTCAATTAACTGATCAACTGATATTCAATAAGAGGACGTGTCAGTCGGTAAAAGACTTCTATAAAGGCTGCTCTAGTGTATCCTCGCTCATGGCTCATTCAGGATGGCAGGTTTTGATCGATTTGCAGGTCAAGTGATCGTGGATACAGGACAGTGGAGCTGAACAGACCTGAAGATAATCATACAGAGCGAAGACATGCTCAGTGTATTCAGCATAATTCAACAGTATACGTTTGTGTGACTGCAGCTGCTCAGAGAAGTAAAGTGATTGACAGTGATGTATAAAGTCTCCACAGGTAACATTCAACTACATGCAGCTCCAGTAAATATTTACATGTAGAGCCTGAGGGGTCAACATGTAAGACGAGCACATGTGTGTTGGTGTTGAGTGCAGGCGCTGATTCATTTAATGTAGGCTTTCCGCCGTTGGACTGACAGCAGGAAATTGATTGCTGCTGTGTAATAGTAAGGAGAAGGGTACAGCTGCATTACGCTGAATGAAAAACAGCCACTTAAGCACAGACTGCCGGAGGGTTTTCTATATGTTAACACATACAGTAGCAGACATTTTTTCAGAGAGCCGCTGCCTTAGACTCAATATCTACATACAACACCAATAACTAGTGAAACTGTAGGGTGTGGTCATATTGGCATTGAAAAAAAAAAATATATATATATATTTAATTATTTGGTTAAAAGCAAGCCAAAACCTCTGCAGCTGAAGAATCCACCCAGTATCACTCTGAAGTTGTCAAAATCTGGCGCTTGGGCAGTGTCTTCCGGTTCTCCTGTAAGATTGTAAATCCAAACCCTGTTCTTTTTTTCCAAAACCCAACCACATGCCAGTGTTGTCAAAACGTAACCACGTGCGTTTGTTGTTGAAGGAAAAGAAGTTGACATGGCGTCCCAGAGCGTCAACATTGTATCTGGACGTGGAAGGTCCATGATCAAAATCGATATGTGATGAGGTCTGAAAGAGAATCCATCCATTCATCCATTTTCAACCGCTTATCCAGGGCCAGGTCGCGGGGGAAGCAGGCCAAGCAAAGCACCCCAGACGTCCCTCTCCCTGGCAATGCTTTCCAGCTCCTCCTGGGACACCTCAAGGCGTTCCCAGGCCAGATGAGATATTTAATCCCTCCAGTGTGTTCTGGGTCTGCCCCAGGGCCTCCTACCAGTGGGATGTGCCCAGAATACCTCTAACGGGAGGAACCCAAGAGGCATCCTGATCAAATACCCGAACCACCTCAACTGACCCCTTTCAGTGCAAAGGAGCAGGGGCTCTACTCCGGATACTCTTCACCTTATTCCTAAGGCTGAGCCCAGCCATCCCACAAAATCTCATCTCATCTCTCCATGATCTCATTCTTTCGGTCACTACCCAGAGCTCATGACCATAGGTGAGGGTTGGGACGTAGATGGACCAGTAAATCGAAAGCTTTGCTTTCCGGCTCAGCTCCCTCTTCATCACGACGGACCGGCGCAGCGTGTGCATCACTGCAGAAGCCGCACCGACCCGCCGATCCATCTCACACTCCATTCTACCCTCACTCGTGACCCCAAGATACTCCCTCACTTGAGGGAGAATGTGTTGGAAAAAAGAACCCAACACACAAGTACCAAAAACTGCAGTTCCTCAAACGGCCACTTGAGGGTGGCTCCAAGAGCGATTCAGTGCCCATAGACCCTCATGTTAAAGTGTCCAACTGCAGCAGAATCCAGCAGAAATAAACATGTTTACAGCCTGGTACAAAAGCAGATTTGGTCTCTTTAGCTAAAACACATTACTAAGGGCAGGGCCGTTTTGAGTGACAGGCTGTCTGCAAGGTGTCACCACCATATCAACCGTTCAATCCTCTTCTGGCTCAAAAAAAAAAACACAAGATAGCAATGGTCAAAATGCCAAACCTGGCTTCAAAACAAATCCACAGACCAATGCATGATGTCACAGTGGCTCGGTCCATTATTTATATACGTCTATGGTAAGATTCAGCTCCTTTAAGGGTAAATGCCTTCATAAAATGCCTTTGTAGTCTTCTGACCACTCTTAATGTCACCCTCACATTCATAAACGGGTGGCCTCACTTTAACCATTCACATGTACTCACTCACTGATCAGGAGCAATGTAGGGTTCAGCATCTTGCCCAAGGATGCTTTGACATGCCAACTTGAGGGGAAGGATTGGACCGGCGATCATCCAATTGGTGGATGACCTGCTCTACCCCCTGAGCCACATCTGCCTCTTCCCCCACAGCTTCAGCAGATTATGGTCTTCCTCTGAGCACTCAGTTGAGTCATGAATGAATTTTACTGAACCATGCACTACATCAATGCTGGAGGGAAATTTCCAATAGCTCCTCAGAATATGACAAGGATGTGAGAAATCAGTGCAGGCAAATTAGAATTTTTCAACTCAGATATTAATTTAGACAATTGTGCTTCACCTGTCTGCCCAGTTCAATTACAGTTAGGTTTGTCATTTGAGACATCACTGGACTCAGTTCGTAAAAGAATTTGCCCGTGGTCTTATCCTGTATTGTTCTGTAGACAACGAGGCAGTAAAATTAAAACTATGATGCTTCTACTGACAATGTGAGATCCAACTTGGGGCCTGATGACGGGATGACAGCATCAGATGTTTGTTTTCTGTTTTAGAAGCAGAAGTATGACACTGACTTCTTTGTTTTCTTTTTACTATGACCAAGATCCGTCCGTTTGTA